TCGAACAGTTCTGCTCATAGTACGCCACAGTCATCTAATATAGGCACAACTTGAAACGAAAATACCCAATAAACTTTGCTCAACAAGCTGCTCATTCACAGGCAAGCATTTTTAAAAGAGAACTTCTCCCTCAATAATATTACCTTAACCAATTAATAAAGCCCATTTAATTGTATACTACTATTCCAAACAGTTTGAATCAGTGGTTCTCAAAGGGGAAGAATACCGCTTCGCGTAGGAACGACAGGGAATGCCAGAGGAACCGTGCAAGTCTTGAAGGAACTGGAGAAACGATAAAGGTTCTGAACAATCGTTAAAAGGCCTGAAATGGAAAGCTGGTAGCAAAAACTGTGGCTGCTGAGTTAAAGAAACTGACAATAAATGCATGACAAAATGCAGATGACTAGAGTGAAGTAAGGAGATGATGAAGGAAATAAATAAAGACAAATTTCTCTTTTCAGGAAAGAGCTACAAACTCAAAAAGGTTTAGAAATAGTAACTAAACGATTCAAAATGCATAACAGAGCGAGATTGTCGGATCAGTAAAGATGAGACAGAAATTTAAACAAACAAAGCATATATTTAAAACAAAAAACGCAGAAAAAACCGTTTTATATTCTTTTTTCGTACTGCTACCAGAGGATCACTTCACCACATTTTAAGTACGGATCTCTTCTTATAGCCACGTTATTTACAGTCTATCATGATTCGCGTAACAGTTACAACCAAGACCTTTCGACTGGACACAATAAGCCAATAATGAGGTAACCTTCTAGTCCATTCACGACATTTTAATGCGAGCATTAACCGGTAAATGTAAATCAATTTTTTTGTGACTAGAAAAGCGAGACTATACATCCTTCAATTTCTCGAACTTCCCTAAATTTGCGCAAACCTTGATTTTCTAGTTTTTGAAAAATTTATAGGTGGATTCAGCTCTGAAAAGGTGCTATCCTAGTGCTGCTACTGAGAAACTACTGTAGCTGCGTTTTCTTCAGTATAACTTAGTCATTACTATTTATTTAGGAAGAGTAGTGCACTCAGAGAAGAGTTCTCAGTTAGACACGCTGATACGCAAGGAGAAACTGTTAAATGCAATTTACTCAAACTCAGAGAATGAAAACAAGAAGCAATAAACCAAAGACAGGCATGAGGACAC